ATCAAACTTAAGCGTGTGCCTTTGGGAGACAGGGAATCCAAAGTAACTATGGAAAACCCACATGAGCACTGGGAGATCATGCATACTCCACACAGAAGGCACCGTAGGTCAGAATCAAACCCAGGTCTCACAGGTGTGAGGAAGCAACACTATCTGCCACTGTGCTGTCTTGGATGCCTTTTTGCATGTTTTTTTCTCCATTAGCCCGGGATTCTCTCCTTGCAGTCTTGGAAAGATATTAGGCCTGTTAATTGACTTAATTAACAAGGATAAAGATTCATTACATTTGAGCTGGAAGCCTAGGTGTATTTGTGATTGCTGGTTATGCTCAAAGACAATTTCTTAGAAGGTTAAGTGATAATGGGGATAGGCACAGTCCCTAAAGTCTCTCCTGTATTTACAGTGTTGACTGTACTGACACTGGCAATGACCTGCTAACTGGCCCCTGTCTGCAGGTCTGACTTACACTGCGTGCCTGAGTAAAGATCTGGAGCACAATAAAGTAACATCTGGTCCGTGTGCAGAGCCAGCAAGCTGCACGCCTAATACAGCTGGCTGCTTTGATATTGAGACACCCATCAAAAGAGTCATAATGAATCCATAATGTATATTTTTTACATCACTAGTGGTGTTCTGATATAATGTTTACTCTTAATTTCCAAATTGTGATTGCTTGTAAAGGCTTATCAGTGTGTGGTATTTTCCCAGTGGTTTACTGTGGTTACAACATAAATGTACTCTGCTTTGCTGTTGGTTTGCCCCAGGTGGCAATATACATGATCTCTCTGCTCTGCTCTCCTGGTCTAATGGTGTTTTTGAACAATGTTCTGTTTTCACCATTGTATACGCCAGCATACAGTTAAACTGAATAATCATACTTAATTTAGCAAAGGCGCAATTGTTCATTAAGAAGGTAGTGTAATTGGTGAACATGGAGTCCTACAGTAACTCCAGGCAAACCTGGAGCTGACAGCCATCACGTAATGCCTTGTGGCTGCCTGCTGATTTGTGGAGCACTGATTGTAGGAATAGTGCTCAGAGGTCTGGAGCGGGAATCTGGAATTCTCCAGGGCTCTTTAGACTATAAATACTGACGGATCAACCCTGACGGATTCTGAATTGTTCTCCCCAGATCCATCCTCTGGGACAGCGGAAGTCCTGCTTGGATTGCGTGCAGCGAGATGGAGTGGACACGCAAGGCCGCGTCTTTTCTGCTTCTCTTCCTGGTGCTCGGCGTCGGCGTCCTCGCGGGCAGTGGGCCGGTGGACGAGAAGGGCGGCGAGCCCCCCGCGCAGAAACGCCAGTCCCGCTCCTCGGAGCCGAAGAGCACGGTGGGCGGCAGGTGCTCCTACACCTTCGTGGTCCCCCAGCAGCGGTTGACGGGGGCGCTGTGCCTGAGCGTGAGGGGGGCCGGCGGGGAGGAGGAAGGCCTGAACCGGACGGAGCTGGGGGAGCTGCGGGGGGAGGTGGGCCGGCAGCGGAGCCGGCTGGAGCAGCTGACGCGGCAGGTGGAGGTGGGCGGCGGCCTGGCCGGCGAGGTGCAGCTGCTGCGCAAGGAGAGCCGCAACATGAGCTCCCGCATTGTCCAGCTGCACACCCAGCTGCTGCACGAGATCATCCAGAGGAAGGACCAGTCCCTGGAGGCCAGCCAGTTGGAGAACCGCATCCTCAATGCCACTGCCCAGGTGGGAGGCCTTTTCAGGCTGCATTTTAAGACCTGTTGTAGAGATAGAGAGGACAGCTCCGCTGTCACACCCTTCATCTGCAGACGCATTAAAGAGTCGGTGCCAATTAGAAGAGCAGTGCATATATCACTGATATCACTGCCAGCTCCACAGCTCCTGA